GGTTTCTGAGGCAGTATCTCTAAGGAAGTAGATTGTCCAATCTGTCTAACAACTCAAATTCACAAACCATTTCAAACACCAGCTACCTAATTATTCAACGTCCTCATTAGTGGCTGTGCGTGGGTGCCTTCCCCAGCCAATCTGTACAGAATCGGGTATGAATGTTGTTTTCCTTCTGTGCTCCAACAATCCTAGACTGTCATTAAATAAACAATCAAAAAAGATGTTGAAGATACATGAGATACCATCTCGAATTGGACCCAGATTGGTGAGGCCTCCGGGCATCTGGCAGAAGTCAATCCAGGGACTTAAGACAGGGAAGATAAGATGGAAATGTCTCACAGGCTTCAGCGACACACAAGACAGGCTCCTGCTAGAAGATGAGGCAGGACTGCTCTGCGGGCCACAGCCTCATCCAGGACTTGACAGCTGCACAGCAGGTTTGTCATTCAAATAGCAGAAGGCGGGTTAAAAAAAAAAAAAAAGCAAGTCATTAATGGAGCTCTGGTGGCGCAGTGCCTAAGGCACTTGACTGCTCACCAGAAGGCTGGCGGTTCAAACCCACCAGCCACTCCTCAGAAAGAATATGGGGCAATCTACTTCCGTAGTGATACTACCTCGGAAACCCAAGGAGGGGTTGCTATGAGTCAGGTCCAACTTGCCGGCACATAACAACAAGAAGTCATTAATGGGACTATGTGGATAGCGAGAGATCAAGTATCAGGGTTGGTGGCTATCAGAGAAATTGTGTTTCTTTTTTTGGTTGAGAATGTACGCCATAGAATATACAGCAATTCCACTGTTTCTACACGGACCATTCAATGAGATTGACCGTATTCTTCAAGTTGGGCAACTGTTCTCACCCTCCTTTTCTGTCCCTCGCCCTTTCACATAAACTCAGTGCTCCTGAAGGTTCCTATCTCATCTTTCAAGGTGCTATTGTCAATTTCATCCCATACAGATCATTCTGAAACGAGTATTAATGCTCACGGCAGACAGTTTTTACTAGTTAAATTAAACTATTGTGTTTTAAGACGTTAGGGGATATTCTTGGTTTAAACTTTAAAAGATTATCTCAGAGCAATAGTTTCACCTTCCTTGGCTCCAGAACGTCTAGAGGCCATGAGAATTTCAAACTCTGTTCTGCATTTTACCCCTTTTGATCAGGATTCTTCTATGGACTTGTGATAGTTGGAGCTGTGTGTCAACTTGGCTGGACCACAATTCTGTGTGGTTTAAGCTGTTGTGATGTGGCTACTTCCATGATGGGATTAGATGAATATGTTTTGAGCAGCCAATCAGTTGAAAGGGAGTTCCCTAGGGGTGTGGCCTGCTTCCAATATATTTATGGACATCCTGGGAAGAGACTCTCTTCTGTGGATCAGGATCCTATTGTGCTGCCTACAGCTGTCCGTGAGCGAACATCCACCATTCGGCCTGGAGATCATGGATTCATCATTCATTGGAGTCAACGGCCAGTATACTGCCTGCCAACCTTGAGCTCCTCAGCCCCTGCAGCTGCATGAGTTGGGAAAAGCCTCCAGCTTGACGTTTGATCCAAGAACTTTGGACTTGCCGGTTTCTATAAGTGCACGAACCATTTTCCTAAGATAAATTTCCCCTTCTCTCTATATATAAGCTTTACTGGTTTTGTTTCTCTAAAGAACCCAGCCTAACACAGGGCTCTTTGACCAAATGTTCAGTAATAGTAGCTGGACACCATCCAAGTTTTTCTGGTCTCATGGCAAAGGTGGCAGTTGTTCGTGGAGACAATTAGGACACAGTTCATATCCTTCTCCTATTCCTGCGTCTCCTTCCACTGGTCCTCCAGGTGAAGGGACCACTTGCTGTCCCTTGGAGGGCTGCTTGCAAGCTAGAAATTATATTTCTTATTTTTAATGGAAGGGTACCATAGAATAAAATGCACAAATCTTAAGTGTCAGGTTGTTTCAAATATAATCCCCATCCCCATCAAGATCTAGAACATTTGCTGTATTGTTGAAGATTTGTTTGGATTCCCTCCTAGTCAACACGCCCCCTCAGAGGTCACACCACTGTTCCAACCTCTCACCGTAGACTAGTTCAGCCTGTTCTAGACACTGACACAAAGGGAACAGGACAGTGTGTACTCTCAGGCTTTGGCCTCTTTCCTTCAGCTTATCTGTGAGATGAGCCCATGTTGTGTAGATCATTAGTTTGACTCTTACTGCTGAGTAGTCATCTATTGGTATGACTGTCCTCGCTTATCCGAAGGGAGTGTTTCCACATTTGGCCGATAGTGAGTAGAGCAGCAATTCTGGTTCCCTAGTGCTGCTCTGACAGGAATATACCACAAATGGGATGGCTTTAACAAACAGGAGTTTTTTCTTGTAATTTGGAGGTGTTAAGTCCGAGTTCAAAGTGCCAGGCTCTAGGGGCTGGGTGAAGGCCCCTCAGCCTTGGGCTTCAGCTCTGCCTCCTGCTCCCGGCCCACTGGAGCTAGAGGCTTTTCTTCACTCAGACAGCTGCTGGCTGCTGAGGCTGAAAAACCCAAGGTTGACAAGTCAAAAGGCACAGTCCCGATGTTACCAAATCACATGGCAGGCCATTAACTTAAGTCCATTGTAAGTCCCAAGGTTGGCAGAACATGGCAGGCTCCTGAACAATGACATGCCTACATGCAGGGTCCAAGCGTGCCACAGGCTAGAGACCATTCCCAAAGGCTTCTCCTCAGCTGCTTGTGGTAGATGCCACCATGGAGTTGATTGCCAGTCTTATGGGGAATAACTACCACCAGCTGCCCAGCCGCCCCTCAACCAGGCCCAGCCAAGCGGACTCACAACTTTAACTACCACACCAGCTTTCAACTGTACAGCCTTGTGTCAACAGAAATTTTCGCTTCTTTTAGGTAAACACAAGGAACTCTGGTGGCGTAATGCCTAAGGCATTTGGCTGCTAACCAGAAGACTGGTGGTTCAAACCCACCAGCCACTCTGCAGAAGGAAGACTGGGCAATCTACTTCTGTTAAGATTTACTGCCTCAGAAACCCAAAGGGGGGTGCTATGAGTTGGAATTGACTCGATGGCAGTAAGTTTGGTTTCTTGGTCTGGTCTTAGGTAAATATAGGCAGTCCCCAGGTTATCAAGATACATTCCTGTGTCTTTAAGAATTGTAGGTCAGTCAGAACAAGTGTATAGTTCTTATGTGGCCTTACTTTAGTGTAAGAAAGGACCTCTGGGTGGTGTAGTGGTTAAGGCATTTGGCCACGAATCAGAAGGGTTGTGATTCAAACCCACCAGTGGCTCCAGGGAAGATGCAGTCTGTTTCTATAAAGATAACAGCCTTAGAAACCCTATGGTGCAGTTCCACTGTCCTCTAGGGGTGCTGTGAATGGAATGGACTCCAGGGCAGTGAGTGTGGTTTGGGCTTTGCTTCTATTAAGATTAACAGCTTTGGAGACGCTGTAGGGCAGTTCCACTCTGTCCTCTAGGGGCGCTGTGAGTCGGAATGGACTCCACTGCAGTGGGTGTGGTTTGGGCTTTGCTTCTGTGAAGATTGACAGCCTTGGAAACCCAACAGGGGTTGCTACAAGTCAGAATCAACCGGAAGGATTTGGGTTTTAGGGATCGGGTACAGTCATTTCAAAGTGAGGGCAGATTTACATGGCATTGAAGCGGAGCTTCCAAGATGGCGGCCCACCACACCACTGTGGTTCTCCACAGTCTTGCCAATCATCCAATCCAACACATCGGGCTCCTGGAAAGGGCTCACTTTTCTAAGTCTCCCATTCCAGGGCTTCAACCTGTCATCTTTCCCATTCCACTTACTGTGAGGGGTCACTGCAACCATAAAATTTCCCGTGTGTTCCTGTTTCACTTCACTGGCCGTGGTGGAAGGGGTTGACAGAGCCCTACATTAAAGGGCAAGTTGGACGGTTGTGACCTGCGGACTTCCTGTACCCAGCAGTGGTGGCTGAGTTACACGGTACATGTATATTTCAACTGTCTAAGCGACTGCCCAACTCTTTCCTTGAGTGACTGTACCATTTTGTATTCTCCCGGTTGTATGAGAGTTCCAGTTCCTCCACATCCTCACCAACACTTGGTATTGTTTTTGTTTGTTTGCAGCCATTCCGACAGGTGTGTAGTGGGATCTCATAGTGGTTCCCTCATTGCAAGTGCTTAATTTATTGTGGTAACTATGTTTATAACAAAACATTCGCCATCGCAACATCCTGTACACACATCAGTGACGTTATTCACATATATCATGTTGTACCATCACCGCTGTCCCATTTCCAAACTGTCCCTCCTCATTGTGTTTTTCAATGAGCAGGTGTTTAATTTTGATGAAGTCCCAATTTATCATAGTGAGTGCACTTGGTCAAAGTTTTGAAAAGCTACCTGATTAGTGATACCTGGCACTCCATTTTATTGCTGGAAATATGTCCTCTGGAGTGGCAGCATTATTTGTCCTCAGCCTCCCCCCAGGGTTCTGGGAGTGTTTCTTTTACTGTGGAGGCACAGAGGGCCTAGAGAGAAGGTGGTCATAGGAAGTACACCCATACACACACACACACACACAGACTTAAATTGTCCACCAACAATAACCAGTAAGGGAGCAAGCATCATGTTAGACTGCTCTACCCTCAAAATGGGCACAATTGCCCATCATGACTGGTGTCCTGAGAAAGGGGGAGGTCCAGCAGGCTTCTGGGGTGGAGTGGGAGGACAGTTACTTCTTGTAGTTTCCTAGTCCTGAGTAGGAGCCAGGAGTTGAGAACCGGGGGGATTTGGGAGACATTCACTCTCACACACACACACACACACACACACATTCACATACACTCCCACAGCACAGCCGCTGAGATCTGATGTCAGGGAGGAGGCTGAGGCCTCTGACTCTCTAGAGTGTGTAGGCATTGCTCCCCAAACCCGTCTTTGTCCGTTTATCCAACCTACAAGATCCCACTGTCCAAAGCAGTCCCCCTCATCAGGGCAGGCAAGGCCCCCACCGGCATTTACATGACCGATTCCTTCTCAAAGGTATCAGTATCCCCAGCGGGGCCTAGTTGGGGTTTGAGGAGGGGATTTCCTTCCTCAGTGGGGACAGGCAGCTGAGTCAGGGGTGTCTCACTCTTCACGTGGGTCAGCTCGGGTGTTGGGCTGCTCGGTTCTGTGCGGTCCACATAATATTGGAGAAGTCCCGCTCCAAAGGCATCGCCCTCCACGTTGAGAACAGTACATGACCGGTCCCTGGGGGGAGGGGCAAAGCAATGTGGAAGTGAGGGGAAGGGAAGGACAGGGGAGTGGTCAAGGCCAAGGCCTCCTTCCTCGCTCCCTCTGAAATGCTGAACTCCTCTCATTCCCTCTGTCCTCACCGAACACTATATCCTACTCCTCCGAGACCCAAAAGCCCATCCCACCATCTTCCCAGGACCCCAGATGACCCTGCCTTCTAGAACCTCAAAGATCTCTTCATCTAGAACCCCACAAGAATCATATCTCTCCTCTTTCTCTTAGAAGACTAAAGGATCCCATCACAGTTTCTCTCCTTTAGAATAGGGCTTTGAACCGGTTCAAACTGGTATAGTCATGACTGACAGAGCAAAACCAGAACAGATCCAAATTTTGAAAATGTAGGCGCTCCGAAATGCTAACTGAACAGGAAAAGATGACGTGTTGAAGCCCTGGAATGGGAGACTCAGAGTGGCATAATGACCCCTTTCAGGAGCCTGACGCATGCCACTGGATTAGTGCCAGGACTGTGGCGGACACCACACATTCAAAGTGGAATGGTTGGCTGCCATCTTTGAGCCGGGCACCGTTGTTTTCAATTCAGTTAGGCAAGAGATTGGGTTGCTATGCAACATGCACACTGCTCTTGTTTACCAAGAGAGAGATTAAGTTTCCAGCAGGGCTTCGACCCGTAATTTTTCCTATTCTGGTCCACCCACATTTTAAAAACTTGGGTCCATTCTGGCCATGACGGTACTGGGCTGAACTGGTTTGAAGCCCTGCTTTAGGCCTCAGAGAGCCCGTCCTCCAGCCTCCCTGGACCTCAAATGATCTTTCTTCCAACAAACAAATGATTTGTTTCATCTGGAGCCTCAAAAGTCATCCCTCCCCTTTCCTCTACAAGGAGCCCTGCTGGCACAGTGGTTAAGGCATTTGGCTGTTAACCACAAAGGTAGGTGGTTTGGACCCATCAGCTGCTCCATGGAAGAAAGATGAGGCAGTTTGCTTCCATAAAGATTTACAGCTGTATATGTGAGCTGAACATTTACATCAGGTAGATACACTCCTTGGAGAGATCAATCATGGGAGAACAGAAGGGCTATGTATGCACAGGGAGACAGCTCAGGGGGCAGGAGTGCATGGGAGGGAAGGACACAGGGAAGAGGTAACTATCAGGAGGAAGTGGGAGGGGAGCTGTTGCACTATGGGAAATTGCAGTCAATGTCATGAGACAAAGTGTATGTGAACTGCTGTATGGAAAGTGAATTTACTCTGTAGACTTCACCCAAACCATAATAAAATTTTTAAAAAAGAGAAAAAAAGAGAAGATTTTAAAAGATTTACAGCCTTAGAAACCCACTGGGGACCTCTATGAGTTGGAATCAACGCAGTGGCAGTGGGTTTGATTTTTGTCTGTCTTTCCTCTAGAGCATCTTCTCCCCAGGCTCTCTATGACCCTCCCACCCACTTCCCCAGGAAGGGCCCCCCCAGAATCTCCAAACCCACACTCACACCAGCCAGTCCACAGCCAGGATCAAGGAGAGGTCCTTAACCGGTAAGTTGACAGCTTCAAGGATGATGGCCAGAGTGAGGACCCCCCCGGCAGGAATGCCTGCTGCTCCCACGCTGGATGCTGTGGCCGTGACCCTGCGGGAGGTGGGGATATGGAAAACAGGAAGTCGCAGAGGGCCCCTGGGCAGTGAGACAAGTTGCCGGAAGAGTCCCACTCCCCAGGGCACCCCCCGCCCCGCCGCCCCCGCTCACAGGATGATGATGATCTTCACTAAGTCCAAGGGCTGCTGGTTGAGCTGGGCGATGAACACAGCCGCCACACACTGGAAGAGCGCCGCGCCATCCATGTTGACGGTGGCACCGATCGGCAGGATGAAGTGGCTGATGTGCTTGGACACGTCGTTCCTCTCCTCCACGTACTTCATCATCAGGTACAGCGTGGCAGAGCTGGGCGGGAACCAGGGATCCAGGACCTGGGTTAATTCCTGCGGCCACCCCGGCCCATCAGCCCTGCCCACTCCTTAACCCAGGCCCCGCCTCCACCAACTAGACCCCGCCCCCTGCCATCCCCAGGCACTACCCTCACTCCCTCAACTCGCCATGTTGGGGTCCCAAAATGTATGCGTCCTGTGCTTCCGGGGAAAGCATAGACTGCCCCCTTCTTTAAAAGGCACACTAATATTTGCACCCCAGTTCTAAATACCTGAATATTCACTGACCCTCCCCACCTCTCTCTACCTATAACGGACCAGGGCTAAGAGTCACTGCTCTGTGGGCTTGAGGTTGAGAGGGAGGACAGAGACCAAGGAGACAGGAAGAAGAGTTCCCAGAGGTCGGGGTCCAGGGTGACACAGAGAGTCTCTGGCAGGTGGGGGATTCAGAAACTTCTGAAAAACTTATGCAAGTATGTCCCCGGTACCCGGCTCTAACATCGCCAAAACATTAAATTTCTTGGGTCTTCAGACACCTAACCGCCCCCTTCCCGCCCTCCAAGCTCCCTAGATTAAAACTCCTTCCCTGGTCCGCTTCCAGGCCATACCTGGAGGACGTCCCGAAGGCGGTGGCCAGTGGCGTCATGATACCCCACAGGAAGCGGTAGGGGTTCTTGCGTGTGAACAGGAAGTAGATGAGGGGCAGGACCAGGAGCCCGTGGATGGCGTGGCCCAGGAGACAGCACAAGATGTACTTGCCTAGACTGGCAAAGAGCTTTCCCACGTGCTCCATCTCCACAATCTTGCTGGCCACCAGGAACAAGATGCCCACAGGGGCATACCTAATTACCCGGGAGACAGAGTGCCGTGTCTGACCACATGCCGTGGGAACTAAAGCCAGGAACCCATTAGCAACGCCCTCCCTGTTTTACAGATCTGTTAGAATTTGCTTAACTCAACAAGAGCAGCAAGGCATGACTGATAAGAGGAGCTCCCTCGTGAGGTCGTTGAGGGAGATACAGTCACGTTCAAAGGAAGGGTCTAGGCAGATGGTGGGCAGGACCTTGGTGGTGGGCGGGGCTTGGGCCAAGGGAGAGTTTCTGGGAAGGGGCTGTGTACACAGCCGGACCACACTTCCCAGCATCCCTTGCAGCAGGAGGAACCGGCCCGGGGCATTATGGGTTGAAGGTGAGGGCACTGCTTCTATGTCTGATTCCGGGAAACTTCCCAAGCCACCCTCTCCTTCCTCTGCCTGGCTTGCAGCTACTTGAGAAAAGATAGTCACCGTTAGAAGACTCACCAGATTTGCACTGAATACACAAGCTAGAAACACCGTTTTTGCGTTTTCTGGGATTTTTACAGCACCTCACATTTACTTGAACCAATACATTACGTCATCAAGTCATGAAAAATAAAGAGGCCATGGCTCATTTCGTTATAAGAACCAGTCACACAGTTTACTGGATGCTAACGTACAGGTTGGCAGTCCGTAGTCACCATGCGGTACCACGGAAGAGAGGCCTGGCAATCTGCTTTGATAACGATTACACCCAGGAGAACTCTAACACATGGACTGCCTGCCATTGGGTCGGAATCAACTCACTGGCTGCTAACAAGGTGTTAATGAGCACCGATATTAACCTGGGCCCTTGAATATGATTGAATCTCTGCCCTACCCCACAAGGGAGCACCTGCTACGTGTCCCTTGCTGTTCTCATTGAATTAAACAAAATCTAATAGATCCTGTTAAACAGGGACAGTGACCTCAAGCCTCACAGGAACACTGGGAGGATTCAATGAGATGCTGAGTTGAAAGCCTTCTGTGCACAATAAACTCCCCAAAAAAAACCCAAACCCATTGCCACTGAGTCCATTTTGACTCACAGTGAACCTACAGAACAGAGTAGAACTGCCCCAAAGGGTTTTCTAGGCTGTAATCTTTACGGAAGCAGACTGCCACATCTTTCTTCTGCAGAACAGCTGGTGGGTTTGAACTGCCAACCTTCCCGTGAGCAGCTGAGTGCTTAATCGCTGTGCCCCCAGGGCTCCCTTTCAGTACACAATGAGTAATCAGTAACGGCAGGCAGGAATATTGTCATTCTTTCCTGGAGTGTGGGTCTGAAGGGTGTCGGCCTCTTAGCCAGGAGGCCTCCCCAGACCATCTATCTCCCTAATGGCTCAATTGTCTTTGTGGATGGAGTAGCATCTCCCCAAAATTCATGTGCAACGTACCCACAGAATGTGATCTTATTTGGAAACAGGTCTTCACAGACACCATTAGTTAAGGATATAGGAATATGATCACCCTGGGTTTAGGCTGGGTCCTCAATCCAGTGGCTACTGTCCTTGTAAGAAAAGGACACATGGAACACATGGCTAACTGCCTCCATCGACAAGTGCCTCCTTTGCCATGAGGCCAGAAGAACTGAATGGTGCTCAGCTACATTACTGAACATTCTCATAAAAGATTCTCTGATCAAAAGGGGGGGAAATGCAGAACAGAATTTCAAATTTCATGGACTTGATACTTTCTGTAGCCATGGAGACTGGATGAACCCCTGAAACTCTTACCCTGAGATCATCTTTAAACCTTAAACCAAAAACATACCCTGAAGTCTTGAAACCAAATTAATAGTTGGGCTTAACTAGCAAAAATGTGTGCCTTGAACACTGGGCTTTTAAGAACTACCTAGATGGGATTGAAGTGACAACTGCCAACTTGAAAGATTAGACAGGAACCTTAGGGGGCTGTGAGCTTATATGAATGGGGACGGAACAACTCAGAAAGGAAGGGTGAGAATGAGTGCATGCGTGGTGGTTATGTTTGTGTGTCAGCTTGGCTGGGCCTAGTTGAGTGGCTGGGCAGCTGGATGTAGTATTCCCCATGATGAGACTGGCAATCAACTCCATGGTGGAATCTACTGGGAGCAGGTGAGTAGCTGCCTTTGGGATGTGGTCTGCTTCCTGTGTATAAGGAGAAGCCTTGGGAATGGTCTCTAGCCTATGGCACGCTTGGACCCTGCATGTAGC